AAAAAAAAAAAAAAAAAAAATCTCAAAAGTATTTTTATCTCAAAAGAATCTTCTAAGAAATTTAACACTCAGGATCCTCAAAAAACCAGCTGTTTTATCTGAAATACAGCAACTAGAAAGAGGAGAAAAGAATGGCATGAAAAAGGGTGCTTGACCGTCCACCAAAAACAGGGGTAAACTCTGTTGGTAAGGAAGCTGAAGAGAAAGAAATACTAAACTAGGAGTCAGAAAACACACTTCTAATCACAACTCAAACACTATCTCACTTGGTGATCTTGTTGGCAAAATAAAAATCCAAAGGCCTTAACATACACAATAACCTTCCCTATCTGGCTAGTATTTCCAACCATTTCTCTCACCACTCTATCCATAAATCCTCAATTCTTGCCACATTGGATTTCTCACTCATCCTACTCTGAGCCCCATAACAACTTATCATCTTTGCATAGGCTACTCCTTAGCTCTGGACCAGCCTCCAGACTATCCCCTTTTCTACCTGGCAAATTCCTACTCATCCCTCAAGAGCCAGCTTCTTCCCTCTGAACTCCCATGATCTAGTGTGTTATAATTTATCTACATTATATGCAGACTGAGTTCCATGAAGGGAGAGACTGTCTTCAATAATTTTGTATCTCTAAAACCTACCAGTGTCCAGCATAATGTACAAATGCAAATGTTTGATGAATGATTAAATGACTAATGAATGAGTAACCTTAGGCAGTTTACCCTACAAAATTGAGAGACTACTTAAACATCTGAAAAGCAACAGGGCATATGTAATAGGAAGAACACACTGAGTTGCTCTGAATCTAACTCTATGATCTTCAGCAGAGACTGAACTCAACTACAAAAAAAGATTTCATAGGGTTGTTACACTGAACAAGTGAAAAAAAGACATAAGCATGTCTAGCACAATGCCAAAACAGTTACTCAAATGTCAGTTTCCTTTTCTCTCCCCCTTAACTCAAGATAATTATGGACACCCAATGAATTAATTTGATATGAGAACAATTTAGAAACTGTAACACATCATACAAATTAAATCTCTCACTTAAGGGGAAAAAAATCTAAACTGTTCATCTTTGCATTTTTTTGGATTTGTAAGAAATACTTGGGGACATCATGCTGGTTTTTAAACATTTCCCCAAATTACACAATTATCTAGAATTCTAGAATTAAAACTTAGTTTAGTGTAAACAATCCTAATTCACTTACTTCAGTGTAAGCAATCTTAATTCTTCTATGATTAAGAAGAAAAAAATCTATATATCACCTATCCTGCTTTAGACTATAGTGTTTTTTCCTTGTTTTAGGTCTTTCAAGAACTCTTCTTTTTTAGGACATATTGCAGTAATGACTTTCACTGAATTTTGTAACATTATTTTATGGATCCCAGCATTTGTAGCTTACTTTAGAAAATAACACATCTCACTGAATTGTTACATCAAAATGGTCTGATTTTTTTTTTAAGGATAAACAAAATGCACTGGCATCAGCATTTATAGATAAGTCTTATTTATTATCTGAAAGCAGAAACTTTCTGTAGAAAATAAATTCAAAAAACTTTCTCTACCCACAGATCCTGATTTGACATTCTATAAAGAACACAACATTAAAAAAAAAAAAAGGAACACAACATAATTGATGCTTATTATGCATGTCAAGGTTAACTCGGAGGTCAAAAAAAGTTCTCTTACTAAACTGAATCTGCTCTGAGAACTAATAAAAATTCTCCTTAAACAGCTTTTTATTAATCAGAAATATTTATAATTGCAATTATAAATTTTTATGTTAAAAGGTCTAAAATTATAACGTAGACACTGTACTGTTCTAGCTAAATGAACTAAAAATAAAAGTAAATCTCTGTGTGATTTAGGAATTACAAAATTGAACTAAACTTATGTGCATAACATCTTGTAAATTTATCTGCATTGCTAACAACTTGACCTAAGACAATGAAAAGACCTTAATTTCCTCTTTCTACTCAGACATTTGCTACATTTAAAACAGTAAATGTCAATAACTTTCACTTCCGCCTCTGTACTATTTCAAGGAAGCTTTTTCATTTTCCACACTAGTCAAAAATTGCAAATAACAGGAAGATTTACCTAAAAGAGTTCTTTTTCAAAGCAACTTTCTTTTGTTTATATTAACCATCACATTTTTAAAGCATAAAATGCATAAAATTTCAAAGCATAAAAAGCTTATCTTCCCCAAAGTATATGGTTTTTAAGAAGCACTCTTTAAAATTTGTTTATAAAGGCATCACAGCACACTAGACACTAGTGAATTCATTAATTATCTTAAAGCAAGCATTCTAAATGAAGCAATATTTCAAAATTTTACAAGTTGTGACTATTAAGTACTAGGATGCAACGTGCACCCATTTTTAAGGAGACTTTACAAGGGTGCTAAGCCTAAAGAAAATTTCAGCGTACAATTTACTCACATACAGAACATGCTGACTGATACCAACAACAAAAAGTCAACTTTTTCTTTTTAACCATCCCACAATTCATCTCCCTGGTATGGCACTCTCTTAAATTGTCGTATCCAGTTGGGATTATCCAGTTTTATTAGCTAAGAGTTCTCATTACTTTAGAAACAGGATATGTTCTGTTTCACCAAGTGTTACACATTTCGATACTACAAGACTTGGCGGGGGAGAGGGGCGTTTTGGAAACAAAAGGTAATCTGATCCACTACAGCTAATTACTAAATGCACGCCAACAATACACAATTTGAATTGCGTTTCTAGACACTAAAAAGATCACAAAATGAAGGAGAATGTCACATGAATAAGGAACTACTTTTGTATCAAAAATATATCAAAATGAAGAAACATGGTATACCGAAACAAGAGCTTACACAAGGTTCAAAATTCATCTGAGTAAAGATCGCATAAACTTATGAAAAGAAAATGTTCAATCAACGTTGTTAAAATAACAGTAATTCATCCCATTCAGGTATGACTAGAAACCTCGACGATGTGCTTTTTTCAGGTCTAAATATCTCATTCTTTTGCAATCCGGATACCAAAAGGACCTGAAACCTCTCGCAGAGGCGTGCAACACACACAGCTAGTGGTATCTGTTTACAAATACAAATCTCAGTTTCCCACGTCAAAAGCGTTCATTATCACCATTCGACTGGGGGGCGGGGGAGAGAGAAGGCGGGCGAGCAAGAAACGAAATCCACACAGACACCTCTGCCTTTTCTCTTCCCGACAAAGGGTGAGCCCGGAGAAAATATTTATTATGTATTACATGACTGTGTATATTTGCATATTATATGTGCACATCTGTATCTAAAGGGGGGAATGAAAGAAAAAGCACACATGACAGGGAATCGTACTGGAGCCAAGAGAATGCTCACACCAATCCCGTTAACTCAAAATCCGCCTCCCGGGTCTACAGGTTTCGGCCGGGAGCCGAGAACCTCAGCCTCTCTGTGAAGTTCGGCCCCCAAAGCGCCCCAATGCCCTCCTCAGGCCGCCAGGCCGCCGCCGCCCCTACCTCCCTTATCTAAGCCTTCCCATGGGACACCCGAAGCCCATTCCGGCAAAAAAAGAAGTGTCAGGCCCCAAGGGGGCGGCTGAGACACGCTCGGGCCGAGCCCCCGACACCTGCGAGGCTCGGCACCTGAGGAGGGCGAAGAGGGAGCCGCCTGGCCTTCCCGGAGCACACCCCCTCGGCGCCGGGCGCTGCGTCGCGGCCGGAACCTCCGTACCTGCGAGGCCCGCGAGCTACAGGCGCGCGCGGCGCCTCCTCATCTCAGTGGCTCCCGCTCCCCCCGCCGCCGCCGCCGCCGTCACTGCCGCCGCCGCTGGAGGCCGGGACACGACGAGCTCAGGACTCCACCGCCATGTCCGCCGCGCCGCGAACTGCATTGTGGGGGGGAAGGGATGGGGTGGGGGAGGAGGAGGGAGAGGGAGAGAAAAAGGAGGACCCGCTGAGGGGTGGGGGCCGAGGAGAAGCCAGGGAAGGGGGGAGGGGAGCAGGGAGGGACGGAGTCTTGAATGGAGTCCTGACCCCCGAGAGTTGGGCAGGGGAGAGACGCGGAGGAGACCGGGAAGAGGAGACGCAGAGGAAAGAGTTCAGGCGTCCCCTCCCTTGGTTCTGGGGGCCCCAAGGCGCCTGTTAAACCCGGGCGGAGGAAGGGGGGAGCGGTAAACACCAATGGGGGGAGGGGCTGCGTTTGGAGGCTTGTGGCGGCGGCGAGAAACAATAGGGAGGGGCCGAGGTGGGAGAGCGACGCACTCACACTCTGGCCGAGGAAAGGGGCGCGCGCGCGCGAGGACACTCGTTAGCCCGCGAGGAGGGGGCGGGCCCTCTAGCGTTGGGGGAGGGTCGAAGTCACCGCGGGGCTCGCGAGGAGGGGCGGGGCCACCGAGCGGGGGTCGCGAGCTCCCGCTACCCGACGGGGCCCCACTGGGGAGAACGAGGACGCCGGCGTGCCTGAGCAGGATGGGGTTACTGACACTGCCGCGCCGCTCAGCTCTAGCTCCTGGGCCTCCCGCCCTATCGAGGCCCCCAAGCGAAAAGAAGGGCCAGAAAGCCGCCTCTATGCCTTGTTCCAAAAGCTACCCCCCGCCCCTGACGAAGGAAGCCCGGCGTTGGACTTGCACCTTGTGGCCTGGCACACGGACCGGGCCTAGCCCGAGAGTCCGCGGACCCTCGGCGCCTAGCGCGGGCTTCTGAACATCAAGGGGGAGCTAGACGGAGGAAACCAGGGTCGACACCCGCCTATTCACCTTTGCCACAAGCCCACCAAAGCTGGAATTCTTTTCTTTTTAAAACGCAGCCTATTTAGGATCAGCAGAAAAATCTTAACATCCCCCCACCCCGGGAAGATTTCAAAAATAATTTCACTCGGGTTTGCAATTAAATTCCCTGGGCCCCTTTTTCCTTTGCTTTTAATAGGTTCCTCTGCATAGTTATTTGAAGTCACGATCCGAGAGGACCTATGGTTTAGTTTGGTTTGGTTTGGTTTTTGTTTTGTTTTGTTTTAAGAGCCCAGCCTTGGACATTATTCAACCAACGTCTGACTTCAAATTGGACAAATCATACAACTACAATCCTTGCATTTGACACGCTAGGCAGGAAAAGGGTAGAACAAGGATGGATGTGATGGTGAAGGAGAACGCTAAATCTTAACTATTTACAAAATACTGTCTAATGACATTTCGTATAATATGTCTCAAAGGATAGAACCTATGAGAGGTTACAAAGAGAAGGATATTCCTGTGTAGTCCCATCTACTTCCCACTATATCTCAGAACTGAGTATTTATCTGTTTATGTCCATTTGAATTTGCAGCTTGTGAGAAGAGACCAAGTATTGCCCCCTAAGTGCTAGGCCTTGAGCTGGGGACTTCACATATTTCACTGCATTTAACCCTCATAACAATCCCATGTGGTCGGTACTATTGCTCCCATTTACAAAGAGAGAAGGAGAGCTCTCAGAATTAAGTGCATTTTACCCCTACTTGTCTGATGCCACGGGGCCCAGATAGAGTGCGGAGAGTAGTGGATTTCAAGTCAAAAGAGCCCTGATTGGCTTCAGAGCTTAGCTGGATGACTGGACAAATGTGCCTCTGAGTTTCCTCATCTCTAAGTTTTTAAAGGCAAAAAAAAATCTACTTCACAGGGATGATGTAAGGAAAACAGCAGGACACAAAAGTTAAAGCCTATAGCGACATCTTATAAGATGATACCAACATGCCCTTCACTTTAGTGAGTGATACCAGTGTCCTTGGAACAAGTTCAATTGAATAAAATTTCCTGATTACTTAATTTAAGAGCAAAGCATTGAGTTCAGCACCAGATTAATGTCTCCAAAAAGTTCACCATTAAGCAAGGAAGGTGGTTCTATTAAGCTACAATAAAAGTTAGAGGTCATATTAACAAAGGCCTGGGCTCATACAGAGGAAAGCATGATAAATTCCACTTGGGTGAGGCTTTAATGGAAGAGGTAGAAGCTGGACCTTGGAGGCTGGCCTGCTATGTGCCAGACACATGCTGGATTCAGAAAACATCATTTAGTCTGAAGTGTGCAGAAGATAATGAGTCTGAAAATAAAGGCTGGGGCCAGGGGCACCTGGGTAGCTTAGTCGGTTAAGCATCTGACTCTTGATTTTGGCTCAGGTGGTGATCTCAAGTTCATGGTCAAGTGGTAAGATCCAGCCCTGCCTCTGCACTCAGCGGGGAGATTGTCTCTCTGCCCTATCCCTCCCCCACCCTGCCGTGCTTTTGTGTGTGTGTGCCCGCTCTCTCCCTCCCTCTCTCTCTCCCCCCCCAAATAAGTAAATCTTAAAAAGAAAGAAAGAAAGAAAAGCTGGGGCCAGACTGAGAATCCCAGTGCTTCTCTCTTCTTATCCCTTCGAGGTGACTCTGCCACCTTTCCTATTCCTCAAGACCCAGCTCAACTCCTATCTCCTTTTTTAAATATTCCTGATCACATCCCCTCCACTGAATGTAATCCATCCTTTCTCTGGATCCCTACATGTTACTTTTATAAGTCTGACCCCAATAGAATATAAGCTTGAGTACAAATACTCATGTTTGTATTCCTTATAATACTTACATACTCGTTGAGTTAAAATTAAACTATAATCTTGTGTATCATCACAAAGTACATGTAGAACAAATATTATTTCTACTTGAAGAATGAGGAAACTTAGGACATAAAAGAGGTTGAATTAGTCACCAGGATCATACAGTAAGTCACAGGCAGGACTAGAATACTAGCCCTGTGTTCTTTCCATTGAATCGCCTGAATCCCAAACAGCTTACTGAGAAATAAGACAGTAAATGACTGCTCTGAGAAAATGCACTGAGGATTTATATCTGATACTTGCAAGGTTAAGTCTCTAAATTTAGCCCTCCAGTACAGAACTTCTGGGAGCACAATTTCATCTCAACTCAGGTGAAAATTACTTGCAGCTAAAGTCTTATTTCATCACAAACACAAGAAATATAATTGCCCAGTGGATCAATATTCATATTCTATTCTCCTCCTAGGTGATAGAAAAACTTAGTCCAAAAATCATATTGGATGAAAAGGTGATCTGGTGAGTAAACCAAATCACAAGAAAGGTACCTCAGAGATAAGTCTGCTCAAACCATGTTGATCTGCAGGTAGATCATAAAGGGAACAAATCACAGAGGGCTATATATGCCATAAAAACAAACAAAAACAGGCTTTCTCTTGGAGTTAATGGGGAGTCACTGAACTTATGTAAGCAAGAAAGAGATATGATCTGATCTGCTAAAAGTTTTCTCTGAGCTCCCCCCCCCTTTTTCCTAGATACTTGATTTCTTCAAGGAGAGAGACTTTAGTGGTTAGTAACCTTTTATAGATCTTGTCTGATGATGAGCTCCATACATATCACCCTCGATGATGTGGTCCTATGCCTTCTTCCTGTTTGTATTCCCAGTACCCAGCACAATCCTGACACACAGAAAGTACCTAGAAATTACTTACTGACAGGCTAAGTTGTCTATAAAGCAGAAGATACGTTCAAAGTTGAGAACTTTTATGATTCTTATTTATAGCATGTAATACCAAACATCCTAACGTAGTAGGTTTTCACCTCAAAAATAGTGTAAAGGATCTATTTCTTTTTGTCTTTTTGCATTCTTAAAATTAAATAAGCTAAAAATAGAGCTACCCTATGACCCAGCAATTGCACTACTGGGTATTTACCCCAAAGATAACAAAAGTAGGGATCCGAAGGGGTACGTGCACCCCGATGTTTATAGCAGCAATGTCCA